CACTAGGGAAGTGGAGACAGGAAGTGATATGGCTGGGCAGAGAGAGGAACATAAGGTAGGAGGAGACAGAAGCTCACCCCTCCTTCAGGCTGAGGAGCTGGTGAGGTAAGAGGTGGCTGTGGCTTGTTCTTTTGTCTCTCCGATCTCCCAGCATTTACCCCAATATCTGACTCCGAGTTTTTATTGTTAAGACCAATTAGGATTCGCACTACAAAAAACACCAACACATTTGGTCATACTTTCTGACTCCCTTTAATTAATTTATTTCTTAAAGCATTGACTGTTCTTCCAGAGAACCTGGTTTCAGTCCTGTGCTGGGTAGTTTATGTCAACTTGACACAAGCCAGAGTCATCTGAGAGGAGGGAACCTCAGTCAAGAAAAGGCACGCCTGGAAGGCATTTTCTTGATTAGTGATTGATGGGGGAGGGCCCAGCCCATTGTGGGTGGTGCCATCCCTGGCCTTATGGGCCTGGGTTCTATAAGAAAGCAGGCTGAGCAAGCCACAATGAGCAAGCCAGTAAGCAGCTCTCCTCCATGGCTTCTACCTCAGCTCCTGCCTCCAGGTTCCTGCCCTGTTTGAGTTCCTACCCTGAATTCCCTTGAAGATGAACTGTGATGTGGAAAACTGAACAAACCCTTTCCTCCCTAAGCAATAGTAACCCTAACTAAGACAAATTCCCAGCCCCCACATGTCAGCTCACAACCTTTTGTAACACCTTCTGTGTGTCAGATTCCACAGACACCAGGCATGCATGTGGTACACAGACATACATGCAGCAAAATACCAATACATATCAAATAAAATGAAAATGAAGAGATTTAGTGTGTGTTCATGCGTGTGTATGTATGTGCAGATGCATGCAGAGACTCGAAGTCAGAAGAGGATGTCAGAACCCTGGTGCTGGAGCGGTTGCAGCCATCTAATGTGAGGCAAATTGTAAGAGCAGGAAGCACTCCTAACCACTGAGCCACCTCTCCAGTCCCCTTCCTTTTCATTTTTAATTAAATATCTTTTTTTTGGGGGGGGGGGTTTTCAAGACAGGGTTTCTCTGTGTAGCTTTGAGCCTTTCCTGGAACTCACTCTGTAGCCCAGGCTGGCCTTGAACTCACAGAGATCCGCCTGGCTCTGCCTCCCGAGTGCTGGGATTAAAGGTGTGTGCCGCCGCCGCCGCCGCCGCCGCCGCCGCCGCCGCCACCACCACCTCCCAGCTTTAAATATCTTTTAAACTTTTGAAAAAGTTCAACTTGAGAAAAATCCCTCACAGGCATGCCCAGAGGATTAGGTCTTAGTTAATTCCAGATCCAGTCACAGTGACAAACAAGACCAGCCATCACACTGAAGGACAGCTAAACTTTTCTCAAGCCTTCCTGTCATGTTACTTGAATATATTCATTTGAAATGGGAAATGTTGGGATGATCTTTTTGTACACCGTGTGAAGATGTACCTATGTCCTTCCTCATCTGCCCAAGGCACCTTCTGATTGGTTTAATAAAGAGCTAAATGGTCAATAGCTAAGGAGGAAGAGGATGGATAGATGGGACTTCTGGGCAGAAATGGGAACTGTGGGAGAGAATCTAGGGTGGGATGATTTGTCAGCCAGATGCAGAGGAAGTTGGATGCATATACTAAAGAGAGGTAACAAGCAATGTGGCAGAATATAGATTAATATAAACAGGTTAATTTAAGTTCTAAGAGCTAGTTGGGAACAAGCCTAAGCTAAGGCCAAGCTTTTATTATTGATAAAAAGTCTCTGTGTCATTATTCGGGAGCTGGCAGTCCAAAGAAAGTCCGCATAGGGAGAAACCCACCCTAAATGTGCACAGTACCTCCCGGTGTCTGCCCAGATACAGGCAAGTTCAAGGGAAGGCTTTGCTTCTGCCTTCTTATGGTTCTAGTTATTTTCTGTTGCTGTGATGAAACACCATGACCTAAATCGACTTACAGAAAGAAGGGTGTGCTTGGGCTTACGATTTCAGAGAGACAAATGTTCATCGTACCAGGGAAGCCTGGCAGTGAGAACAGGAAGCTGAGAGCTCTCCTCTCTACCCCCATCATGAATCAGAAAGAGCAAATTGGAAGTGCTGTGAGGCTTTTAAGCTCAAAGCCCTCCCCCAATGACGGCCTTCCTCCAGCAAGGCTGTACCACCTAAAACCTCCCCCAAAAGTGCCGTCAGCTGGGGACCAAACAAAAGTTCAGGTTCCTGGGACTGTGGGGGACATTTTTCATTCAAACCACCACACTTGCCTTCACATATCTGGAGTTATCCTGCCCCGACATTCTTCCCCAACATCAGAACCATCTATGTGGACTGAAGATCAGCGGCTCTCCAAGAATCTTCAGGCTAGCACCAGGTTGGGATGGCTCCATCATTCAGCGGTTCTCTGTATCTCTAGTGTGAGACAGCCATTATAGCTTACCCAGACCACGCTGTGTAAGCCAATCTAAGGAGTCGTCTTTGTAATATGCAGATACTCTCTCTCCATTCTGTCCCCTGAGAGAACACCACCTGGACTTCTGGTAGTGTGAGACGAAAGCAGGTATTGAAGGAAACACAGTTGTACCAAAGTTCACAGCTGTCGAAAGGAGAAAACAGCCTGAGTGTCGGACAGAGGAAGCGACAACACACAAAGGCGTCTGTTTACGCACCCTGCTTCCAGCCTTGAGAAGGAACGATGTCCTTGCAGCGGCCACGGGGACAGAACCTGAAAGTGTGCTGAGTGGACAACTGTGGGCCCAGAAGGACAAGTGCTGTAGGAGTCTGTTCGTCTGAAATGTCCCGACCAAGTACACCCACAGACCGGAAACAGAGCAGTGGCTGCAGACGGAGGAGCTGGGGAGAAACTTCTGTAGGGCCCTTGGTCTCATCTTGGGGTGATAGGGAAGCTTCGGAAGCAGAGAGGGGTCGGGGCTGCATGCGGCTGTGAATACAGCCCAGTGAATACAGCCCAGTGTCTGCTGTGCTCAGACACCTTGGAGTGGCCAAGACGGGGTGGGGGGGTGTTCATGACATGTTAGTTTTATCAAAATTTAAAAAAAGAACATGAAAGTCCCTACACTGTCCTGGCATTTTCCAGGAGGTAACAAGATGAGCTGGGGAGCAGCGTGGGTCACAGAACTCATTTTTCTTCTGGCCCCTGGCCCGGAAGCTGAGGACTCAACCAGAGCCACATCTGCCAACACGATGTTTACATTTCTGCAGAACTGTAACAGCACTTGAAACTCGCAATATTTCACTACGAAAATTCCAACCTCGGTCTCTACCTAAACGAGTAGCCTGAGAAGCATGGGCATGTGGGCCAGCACGCATCCCTAGAAGTGAGCATATGGCTCACCACCAGGACTGCAGCTGTGGCCGACATAAAAGGGAATGGCCCATCTCCTCAGCAGGAAATTAGCACCTCATCTTGGCTGTTGCAGATGAGACAGCAACCGAAACTGCTCCAGTCCCAAGGCCAGGCACGTGGTTCTTCAGTGAGAATCCTAAGACATCAGCTCAGACCATTTAAATCCAGCTCCACCCACTAGGGGCTGAAATGTCAACGCTGCCGGCAGGCATCCACTATGGTTCCACCGTGGCAGGCATCCAACCTTTCAAAAAACAAAACCCCCGTGCTTTCCCCCTCCAGACCTGTGCCTGTCCCGCTCTTCTCGGCTCACAAGAAAGCAGCTGAAAAAATAGCAAACTAGCCAGGAGGTGAAGACACTCGTTCGCCTCTCCAGCTCCTGCCACTGGGCTCTCAGAGAAGCCTGGGGTCACGGGAACTGTCAACAAGTTACAGCTTTCCCAACAGGATCATCTATGTAAAACAAAACCAAACACACACACACACACACACACACACACACACACACACACACACACACACACACACACACACAAAGGGCCCACAGCACACGAGGGAGGACAGTCCCCTGAGGCCTATCACACACATCTTCAAGGACTGGGTTTCCTCACGTGTCTGAACGCAGCTCACATTACCAACCTGTTGGACCATCTCTGGATTCCTATGCAACCCAAACAAAGACTGCAGCCGGAATTCTATGGCATGGCCAGGCTCTCCAAACCAAAGCGAGGTCTCTCCTACCCACCCTTCCCACACTGGGAAGGGGCAAGAAGACAAACTTCATTTAGTGACCGGGTCACCCTGGCCTGAGTTTCTTTTCTTCTTCTTTGGATCATAACTTCAAGTCACGCCAAGGGCATGTGTATGTCGTGACCCGAAGTGGGAATGCCTTGACAACACAGGAAAGGCGACCGTTGTGTGTCCACAGGAGGCCAAAGTAACTCCTGGGGTGAGAGTCATGTTAACCCCCCCATGGACGGGACAGATGGCCCACCCAGAGTCCAGTATCAGCTCCTACACACGGGAGTTGTGAACACCTCCCCAAAGCAGGGAAGTAGCAAGCTGCAGGCAGTTGCAGACCTTCTGAACTGTGGAATAAATGCACTTGGCCAACACACAAAGTGTGTGTTTTTTAAAATTACGTGTATTTACTGTGCTCATCCATTCTCATACTCGGACTACAGCACACATGAGGGGGATCTGAAGACAGCTTGTAAGCACCGGCTGACTCCTTCCTCCAACAGGACCCAAACCCAGTTTATCAGGCTTGGTGGCAAGTGCCTCTACCAGCCAACCATCTTACTGGCCCCCTGCGTTTTCCAGTTCATCAGCACATGACCAAAAAGGCTTTCCATAGGCTGGAGAGATGGCTCAGAGGTTAAGAGCACTGACTGCTCTTCCAGAGGTCCTGAGTTCAATTCCCAGCAATTACATGGTGGCTCACAACCATCTACAATGAGATCTAGTGCCCTCTTCTGGCCTGGAGGTATATGTGCATAAAATACACATATATATATGGAGGTATATGTGCATAAAATACACATATATATATTTGTATAAAATACACAAATAAATAGATCCAAAAAAAAAAAGGAAAAGAAATTTTCAACAGATAGCTGAAACCAAAAGGTTTTTTTTTTAAATGCCTTTCACATTCAAAATACAGATTTAAAAGCTCATGAATAAAAATTATGAACATACTGAATCTTGTGAGTTTGGAACAGAACACTGAAGTACATAAAAGATTCAAATCCAGGGGCTGGGGACATAGCTCAGTGGTATGGTATGTCCCCAGCTATGAGAGGACCTGAGTTCTAGGCCATCCTTAATGTTTCTTGTTTGGGTCCTCCTGCATTTTCTGTTTCTTTATGGTTTCCAGTTTCATCTGCTTTCTTCCTTGAAAAAGAAGAAAAGAAAAGAAAAAGAGAAGAAAATGTCACAATGTGTCTCCAAAGGGAAAACCCGCAAAGCTGGTGTCACAGTAATACCTCTGATGAGAAAAATCAGAAGCCAAGCCACATCCTTCCTCCTCAGTCCAGGCCCCCCCTGGTGGTCTGTCACACCAGGCCCCCGACTGCCTGCCCCATACATACCTTTCCCTCTCTCAGATGTCCCCACCATTTAGGGATGAGATTAAGGCACGATGTGGTGACTCAAAAGCTGAGTCAGCAAAGCACGGACCCTGCGTGAATGAAACTCACAACTCACAGGCCAGCAAAGGCCAAAGCACAGGAGCAGGCTTGTTCCTCGCCGAGAACTTCTTCACATCAGGTCCTGGCTGTTCCCTGTCACCCATCTCCATAGCTGAGAAAGTACGTGGGCTAGGAGGTGCTGAAGGGGCCCTTGGGGGCAGCCACGGGAGAGTTCTGAGGGACCAGAGCTTAGACCCCACAGCAAGGACAGCCCTGTGGCCTGCCTTTCTTGCAGCTGATGTTCCGACTAGCTGAGTCCACATGGAGCACCCAGGGATGGCTTTCTCCTATCAACCCACCACCCAGAGAACAGAGAAGTCATTTGCTTCTGACTGTCAGTAAGTATTATTTCCTGTTGATCCCATTACCATATAACTGGTCTCTCAGGAGAGTGTGTGCCAGTTAACTGGTCCTGAGTTTTGCTTGGGTCTGATATGTCATGCTCATATTTTCATATTAAGTATGAGAAACAAGATGAACATGCCATACTGAAAAAAGGTACCACTACATGGTAGAGGATAGATAAGAAATATGAATTAACTTAAGATGTAAGAGCTAGCCGGCCAGTGGTGGTGCACACCTTTAGTCCCAGCACTTGGGAGGCAGAGCCAGGTGGATCTCTGTGAGTTCGAGGCCAGGCTGGTCTACAGAGCAAGATCCAGGACAGG